TCTCACTGACTACAGTTATTTTTTTCAGATGTTCTTTTGAAGGAGGCTAAGTCTGAAAATCCTAATAATTAATAATCCTAAAGTTGAATCAATCTAAAAACCTATACTATAGAAGCTTTTTACATAAGACAGTAACCTTTCCCCTTTTCAAAGCAGGCAGATTCAAAGCAGGTGAATGAAATAAGTACTTTGGMAAACTAAGATAAGAATAGAAAATAGGCATTTCCTGCTGTAACTTGKMAAAGCAAAGGGTCATTTACAAGTTACAGAGTGACAGCGGAGCTAGAGACACGTATGACAGAAAACCGGCAGAATAAGGAAAGAGAAACTGGAAGTGGTCAGCAGAATAAYGAAGAGGTCAAACTTAATAGGTCACTATGAACCAAAGATTGAGAGGAAACAGAAGTCCCCCTCCCATACTGGGAGGAGTGACACGTAGCTTTTCTGACTATATGACCTTTCATTCACATCTTTATTGCTTAATTTAGGGAATGCAGAACCAGCAAAAGTAGGGAACTTTAATGTATAACCAGGTATAGGATGTTTGACCTTTTGCCTAATCTCATTATTTAGGATGTTTGTTAAAGAGTATAAGAAGGCCCACTTTTGAGATGTAGAGCACGGGCAGCCACTTTGAGTGAAACACTGTGTTGTTTCTGGCTTGTTCCGTCTCTCCAYGGCCRTGAAGAAAATAAACGAGATTTGCTTTACCTCTGGAGGCTAGACGCTCTTCATTTTGCTGCCCTCTGCAACGGACTCAGCAAGGACCCCAAGCAGGGGGTCCCCTACACTTTTTAAAAATTCCTCAAAACCGTGCTGTACAATAAAATATCCCAGTGAAGAGAAAAACACGTGACTCTAGTAGCCATGAACTAATTATCCTTAGACTGAGTCCTGAAATTACTAACTCTTTAACACTAAGGGAATGTCATAAGGCACTAGAAGATCTATAATTACACCCACTCCACAGTATCTGCTGCGTGGGGCAGTTTGCAAACTCCATCTGACTGATGTTATACAAAGGGATAAACAATATTAATTGACCCTGATTATTTGTTCTTTCCAGATAAATTGCATTAAAATGAAGGGCTTTGTTAATTCCAGTTTAGCTAGGTTTCTGGTAAATTCTACTATATGTTCTGGCAAATTTGCTGATGTTGTTGTGTGCCTTCAAGTAATTTCTGATCTTTGGAAACTCTAAGGCAGTGGTTCTCAACCTGTGGGTCCCCTGGTGTTTTGACCTAAAACTCCCAGAAATCCCAGCCAGTTTACCAGCTGTTAGGATTTCTGGGGGTTGAAGGCCAAAACATCTGGGGACCCACAGGTTGAGAACCACTGATCTAAGATGACTTTCTCATGGCATTTTCTTTGCAAGATTTGTTCAGAGAGGATTTGCCCTAGCTTTCCTGTCCAGCTGGCTAAGAGTGTGACTAGTTCAGTGGGTTTCCATTGCTGAGCAAGGTTTGAAGCCTTTTCTCCAGAATTGTAGCCCAAGGTTCACACAATGCACCAAATAACACTACTCTGGCTCTACTGTTAATTTCAGTGACATAAAATTAATCTATTTAACATATCTTAACCTGGCAGTAAGATATTTCTTGCTCTCACCTACTTCCAATATGGTTTTCCAGAATTTTGTTGTTGTACTAGCTATACCCGCCACGTGTTGCTGTGGCCAGCCGTCCCTCCTTCTTTCTCCCCTTTCTTAATTTCTTTCTTTCTCTCCTTCCTTCCCTTTTTTCTTTCCTTCTTGCCTTCCTTCTCTTCCTCTTCTCTTCCTTCCCCCCTCTTTTCTTTCCCTTCCACTTCCTCCCTTTTCTTCATTCTCTACATATTCTTGAACTGCAACTCCCAGCAGTCCTCCTGATCAATCTATCTACCTACCTGTCTATGTCTGTCTAATCTATCTATCTGGAGGATTGCTGGGAGTTGCAGTCCAGGAATAGGAAATTGGAAATATGCAGGGATTGGGATGCTCTCAAAGAAGTCCAAGGAGAAGAAAGTTTGCATCTTGGAAGGAGTGCATTTGGATCATCCCCCTCTCCTAAAGGGCCTGGTCTAGGGGATGCTGGGAGCTATAGTGTGGATATGCTATTGTGTGTTTTGTTTGTCAGGAGAGTCGTTTTTGCCCATGCACGGTAGCATCTTTTTGCTTTTTTGGCTTTTTATGTCCCTTTTGCTGTGTTTTTCGGTGTTTTTATGAGTGATGGTCACTCATTGATCTGATAGGTGTATTGTGTCCAAATTTCGTGCCACTTCATCCAGTGGTTTTAGAGTTATGTCAATCCCACAAACTAACATTACATTTTTATTTATATAGATTCAATTGTACCTGAAAAATTCAGTATCTTCTCCATTTAGTCCCTATCCATCCAAAAAAGTATTCATATCTAGGATTGTTAGATATCAGGCCATGGTCTTGAGTTTCAGGGCTTGTACACCTTTCTTCAATCATCATGATACAGTGCACTATAAAGTGTGTGTATACAGTGCAAGCCCTATAAAGTGTATGTATATAGTACAATCCCTGTATTTATAGAGTGTATGTTCCTGAACATATCAAAACAATGGGTAATAATGAACACTGTTGAAACAAATAGCTTTCACCAGAAGTTAACACAGAGGGCCTTGACAATTCCTGGTAAAGTTTCCTCTCTAGGAATTTGCTAGGTGCTCCACCTTGATTCTGTGGTAACTTCTGGTGAAAGCGTACCACAGAATCATCTGGAGGACCTAGAAAATTACTAGAGAGCACATATTTTGTCAGATGCAAGTTAATGAAACAGCAAGATGAGACATGGAGGTACAGGGGTCATACTGTATATATTCCCCACAATCATTCACTTTCATCTTTTTTTTACTTCAAGAACATACTCTCCACAACTGGGGCTTATGCTTAAATGATCACACAGTTTTGTCACCAGGGCCTGCTTCTTTTAAAATCACCCTTGTAATATGACTAAGGTCCACCTCATGTTACATCACAAAATATTGTCCCCACTGAACACATTTTTTGACCTAGGATAGTGCTAATCTGGTGATCTTGTATGTTTGGGATTCTTTAAAAAAACCCATAGGCACATTTCAGAACTTAAGAAATTTATACCTTGATTTTCATGTTTTTCAAGATGCTCCCAATCATCATAGCCACCTACACAAAACAGTTGGAATGCCGGCAGGCAATGGATTACATTAAGACTAAAGCGTGGAAACATAGATCCACTTCATCCTGGAAATAAGTGACTAGTGGGGTCCTTCAGGGTTCTGTTCTGGGCCCAGTACTGTTCAACGTCTTTATTAATGGTTTGGATGAAGGTTTAGAGGGCGTGCTTATTAAGTTTGCAGAGGACACCACATTGGTAGGGATAGCTGAAACACCAGAGGACAGAATCTGAATTCAAAATGACCTTAACAGATTGGAGAGCTGGGACAAAATTAACAAAATGAATTTCAACAAGGAGAAATGTAGGATACATCACTTAGACAGAAAAAGTGAAATGTACAGATACAGGATGATTGATGCCTGGCTCAACAATAGTACATCTGAAAAAGATCTTGGAGTCTTCATGGATAACAAGTTGAACATGAACTGACAACGTCATGCAGCAGCTTAAAAAGCCAATGGGATTTTGGGTTGCATCAAAAGGAGTATAGTGTCTAAATCGAGGGAAGTCATGATCCCTCTATTTTGCTTTGACAAGCTGGAATGTGTCCAGAGGAGGGTGACTAAAGTGATCAAAAGTCTGGAGACCATGTCCTATTTGCAGTGGCTTCAAAAACTGTGGAAGAGAAGGTTGTGAGGAGACATGATGGTCATGTCTAAATATGTGAAAGGAGATCATAAGGAAGAGGGAGGAGGTTTGTTTTCTGCCCTGGAAACTAGAACTAGGAGCAATGGAATCAAACTACAGGAGAGGAGATTCCATCTGAACATTAGGAAGAACTTCCTGGCTGTAAGAGCTGTTCAGCAGTGGAGCTCTCTGCCTTTGAGTGTGGTGGAAGCTCCTTCCTTGGAGGCTTTTAAAAAGAGGCTGAATGACCATCTGTTGGGGGTACTTTGATTGTGGTTTTCCTGCATGGCAGGGGATTGGACTAATAAGCCCATGTGGGCTCTTCCAACTCTATGATTCTATGATGTTATGATTAGGTTTTTGGATTGCAACTCCCAAAACACTCTGCCCAGTATCTTAAAGGAAGGAATACGCATCCTTAGATGTTGGACTGCAAGTCTTAGCAGCTCTAGCCAGCCAAGCCAATGGTGGGGAAAATGAGCTGTACTCCAGCAATATCTGGTGATAAACATTATTCCCATTCTCTTTTATATGAAAAGTAATTTATTCTTCACCCAGAGATATGGCAAATGTTGCTATGTTATAACTACATATGAAAAAAAAATGGTACTCTCTGGTTTACAACATAAATTGACTTCAGGAAAGTGGGTATTATTTTTTGTAGGATATAGTTTTCACCAATACTACTCATAATCAGAAGCTGCTTCAATCAACTAATCATTCACTAATGCCTGTCATCTTCATATATATTTTCAGTGGTGGGAAATCTAGACTAATCTAAGTGTTGGTAGAGATGGAGGTTTACCTAGGTACTACAGCCTTTAAAAATTACATACAGGTGTCCTTTGTAGTGTTGAAAGGTAGTTGCTTAGTCATCTGATCATGCATTCTGACTCTTAATGTTTATCTTTGCTATCAGATCAGGTTCAGAATGACATTTATAATGGCCTGAATACCTTTGTCTTATTTATTCACTAAAAATGCTCACATTATTAAAAGAGATGTTCTCCTCTTCATTTGACACTTCATTCTGACTAGAAGAGCTACCGACAATCCTTGGGCTCTCTAAGAGAAGATTACTGTGCTACATTTATTATGATGACATTCTTGTGGTTTCCGTATGATTGAGCAAGAACTCAATAACAGGATCAAGAAGAGTCACTGCTACGCCCGATAGGTAGTTTTTTCCCTTTGGGCTGGGCACTTAGACTTACAGGAAAAGTATATCAGGAAATAGCCAACCTAAAGAAATGTATTATTCAAGTTGTCCCCAGTTGGAAAAGTTACTTGGCTGAACACAATAAGGTAAGGTAAATATTGCTTAGGACTTAAAATATTAATTCAGATGTCCTAAAATAGCCCTACCCAAGCTGATGCCTTCCAGATGTTAAAACCACAGATCATTGGCCTTGGTGGTAGGAAATGATGGGTTTGGAAGTCCATCACAGTTTGGAAGGGTTATCTCAGGAGCACCATGTTGCATCATGATCACTTTTATTTTGGCTGTTTCTGAAGGTGTCAGAGGCAATTTTTCAGATTACATTAGTCTATCATATTGTATTACACCAGGTTATATTAGTCTATAATATTGATGATCTCAATATTATAGACTAATATTGAGATCATATATATAATAATATAGACTAATAGTGGGAGATTTTGACCACGGAATGGAGAGCATGTTAATAATAATATTAATCTGAAAATTAGTTTGCAAGGTTAGGTATAAAACACCAACCTCTGAATATCAAAATGAACAGGAAAGATGGTGGGGCTAACACATTTTCTAACACATATAGAAAAATACTAAAATACAAAAATGCCTAAATGTCAGTGTATGACTGGACACTGGATTTTGTTGTTCATTGCACAATTCTTGTTTCCCATAAAAATGGTTGCATCATTGATATTTTCTTAATTGGTTCATATTTTATTCTTTTTAGTACACTGATATTTGATATTTCGGCATATTTTGTGCATTAATATCTTCCATATGTGTTCATTGACCTGTCAGCCCCACCATCTGTTTCCATTTATATTAGTCTGAAATCTGTCAAGAAGAAAACATCATGTGAAATAACTCTTCCTCAAAATGTGTATTTCAATTATCCACAAATGTTTTACTATAGGCTATATATACAGGGTATTACAAGATTGTTTGCATGGAGTAGGAGAAGGCAACGTCTTTTATTCAAAACTCTGTGAACTGAGAGCTGGGTTTCTTGCTGATAGTGCAAGAAAATTCCAAGTAGCTGAAACATCCCTTTGGTAATATGCTTGCTTTAAATGGTTTAAACCAGGCAAAACAAAATATATAATTGTGCAAATTAACAATTTCTAGTTGAGGTTTTCATAACTGAGAAAGAATAAGTGTAGTTATGAGTTTCATGTTTGAGGTGAAAAAAAAGATAAGGAGTGGTGTAGCTGTAGGTAATGTGTATTTGCATGTGCTTTCAATGGATCAGAACAGGGTAGTGGCTTGAATGTTAGAATACAGTTCTGGAGACAAGGGTTTGAATAACTGCTCAGCCATGAAAACCCATTGAGTGAACTTGGGCAAGTCCCACTCTGGCCCTTTCTGATTTGACCTGGATTATCTCACAGTGTGGACTTATATACTCCAGTTCAAAGCAGATAATGTGGATTATCTGATTTGATAATCTGGTTTATATGGCAGTGTAGAAGGCCTCAGAGAAAGGCAAGGACAAACCACCTTTGAACTGAACTAATATTGCCAAGAAAAGTCATGGCAGGGTCAACATAGGATCACCATAAGTTGGAAATGCCTTGAAGGTACACAACAACAACAACAACAACAGCAACAACATGTGGTTGCCATAAATTGCTTGTGGCAACGCTGTGAATTTCATAGGGTTTTCTTAGACAAGGAAAACTCAGAAGTGATTTTCCCCTCTGAAATATAGCTTATAGCACTTGGCACTCATTGGTAGTCTCCAAGGAGGGCTGCCCCTGCTTTAGCTTCCAAGATTAGAGACTATCTGGTGTCTTAAGGGTTTTTGAGAATTACAGCTATCCAGCTATATAAATGCTCTGGCCTTTAGTTCTGACAATTGCTCAAATAAGTAGGATATTGAGTTTGTGCTGCAAGTAGTACATAGAAAACTATATCATCAGATGCAGGGTTCCCTCTCCCTACCTCATTTCTACATACTTTAAAAACAGTTTACAGAACGAATCCCATGGAGCCTATCATATGATGCAAAATTAATTCCACTGGTTGCTCCATGGGACTCTGTCTGTAAATTGTTTCATAAGTGTTTGGAAACTGAGGATTTTGGAGTTGGGGAGCAATCGTCTTCAGAGCTACTGATACACATGGAAACAGCTATAGGCACTTATCTACACGTGAGATGGGAACTGTCAGATTCATCTGTTAGTTTTTTTATAGTGACAGTTAGAATAGGCATTCCTGTGAATGGTCTTAAAATGATCCTCAGCGCTCCTTTTGTGTCCAGTACATCTCTTTCATGAAACTTTTATGGTAATAAAAATAATAATTTATTCATCCAGAATTGTGCAATTTCAAATACATCACCACTTCACTGAGGCTATATTCCCCTCCCCCCTTTTTTTGGTCATAAATTTCAGACTTCCACAATTGCAAAGTTTCCTTTTAAAAAGGGGCTACTTTGACCTGTTTATGTGAATGTACATGTATGTTTTGATGCCTTGAAGACAAATTGGAATGAACTATTTTCATCTGTGAATCTCTGCAATTCTCCTTTATACTTTTACCATCCTTCTGACATCCACCAGGTCCCGCTTTCCTTAGTAAAAGGTCAATTATGTCCCGCATGATTGATGTTGCAGAACAGGCTATTGTGAAAAGTGGAGAGTTAGGACATGCCTTTTGATTCATGTGACTGCTGACTAGTTCTAACCTACAATAAACCAACTTTCAATTGCAGATAAGATCAACCATTGCAGGTCTTTATAATAACCTCTTAAACTGTAATCTGTTTGATGATATTCACTATAGCGTATATTATTATAATATTATTATTTCAATATAGATGCCTATCAGTGCACATTTAATGCTCTGGTTTGATTTAAAAGCTAGTTTAGAAAGAAGTGTCATATAACACTGAACATTATTCTTCATATTTTGTCTCTGTTTTGCTGAATTTTTCCAGAATTTTATCTTGCCTGTAATGGCAATATAAATAGTGACACCAGATACTCTTTTTGCAAAAAGTTATTTGCAGGATTGAGAAAATAAATTTTTTCATGTGAACAATTCCTAGTGGTAAAACAGAGGTGAACACAGTCAGACTTTCAGATTACCACCTTGTGGTCAGGCATAGCTAGATCCCCATCATTTTTGACCCAAAATAGTTTCTAGCTCTAACTTTTCTTTTCTTTTTTAGAAGAAAATGCTCCCTCTCATAACACAGTCTTTTCCCCATCTCCGTGTTTTCCATGTAATGTATTTTATGTTCAGTACCAGAAAGCAAACATAGGCTTCATTTGCAAGCTTGACTGCTGAAGCAGGTCTCACCGTGGGAGGGAAAACAGGTTAATTGCATTCCTCTTCATGTTTACTAGTGCTCTTTGGTTGTTCTCTCCCATTTAGACCATGTCTTCCATTAAAATTGAGACTATTGTGAAAGAGAAGAACAGGATGGGAGAGTGCCCTGTCTGGGAAGAAAGGCAGAATTCCCTTGTTTTTGTGGATATCAATTCACAGAAAGTGTGCCGCTGGAATTCAATCACCAATGAAGTTCAGTGTGTGCCTGTGGGTAAGAGCAATACTTTTTCTAAACCTGCAACCTCTGGTAGTCTGTTTAGAGTATTTTGGAAAATTGTTTCAGACTATAAGGGATGAAGGCAGAACAAAATTCAATTGATTACCGAGACAGATTACAGTCTGTCTTTAAGAATCCAGCTATGCATGTATTTTTTTTAATTGCCGTTGTTATGTCCCTTCTGTTTTTCTGCTTTATGGCACCCCATTACAATTTTCTTGACGATATTTATTCAGAGGAGATTTTCCATTGCCTTAGGTTGAGGGAGTGTTACTGGTCTAAACTCCCCAGTGGGTTTTATGGGAATTTAAATAACAAAAGGTCTGGAAACCAAACCCTATGAGGAGTGGCAACACATTCCCCAAAGTTCTTTTAGCCCCTAAGCCAAAAAACTCCAGCTTTCCACTTCTCTGACAGTAAGAATACATTAACTATCCATAAGGAGTCCTGGAGATATTTATGTTGAAGTACAGCACAGGAAAGTTGTAAAGCAATGCTTTTGGGTTGAGTGGGCTCTGCTTTACCCAAGCACGTTATCTCTCAATGTCACTGTTCATGCAACATGCAATTGTCAACATTAATTCAGTGTACCCAAATTATTTAGGTTTCCTTAGATATGGATGTATTTGGCTGCTCAATCTCAGCTGAGTCATTTTCTAACAACTGATCTATTTTATGGTATCTGTAACTAAGCTCAGCAGTATTCTGGATAATCATAATTAGTAATTGTACAGTTTAGTTGCTCTGGAGGGGGGCTGCCTACAATCATCATGTTGCACATCAGTTTCATTTGCCCCTGAGAGAGGGGGCCTCTCCAATTTGCAGCCCAATAATGATTCTGCATGAACAACAACAACAAAACTGGGTGTCTCAGACTTCTTAAATTATTTTTTGTATAATTTGTATATACCTCAACAATCTATATTTGAGGGTATGTCATCCCTAAAATACAGCCCCGTAGCCAGGATTTTGTTTCGGGGGGGGGGGGGGAAAAATTTTCAGGGTTTTTTTTTGGGGGGGGGGGAGTTTGGGGGGGGCCTGAGTCTGAGTGAAAGAGGTCTACCCTAGCAAACCTTTTGTATCATTACCCCAATACCCCCATGCATATGGGATATATTGAGTATGGTGATCAGATCATGATATGAATAAACATAACAGTTTAAATAATGCACCAGTAAGGCCTTTTCGCGAACCACCATGAGAATTTCGGGGGGGGGGGGCTGAAGCCCCTCAACCCCCCCCCCCCCCCCCGGCTACATGCTTGCTAAAATATCTTCAAAATTTGGTAAAAACACTGAAAAAACTGAGGTACCACGTAGCTCTCCAAGTTAATTTTATCTATCTCACATAAGAAATGATGTTGAACATGCCCTCCAATATTGGGTGAAAATTCATCTAACTAGTTTCAGTGATGTGGCAGAAAACAAACAGAGTGAAATTTAATTTTCTTTAATCAGATTGATTGAGTGATTTAGCCTGTCAGAAGCGAATTGAGAATAGAGCTATAATGTATTAAAAAAAACCACAAAGAAAGTAAAAAAACTTGGCACTGTACTTAATTTCCCCTGACCAGTAGCTGGCCACTTGGAGTGGCTCTGGTGTCATTATAAGAAGGTCCTCCATTGTGCATGTAGCAGGGCTCAGACTGCATTGTAGTAAGTGGTCTGTGGTTTGCTTTTCTTCTCACTCGCATGTTGTGGACTTCACTTTGTGGCCCCATTTCTTAAGATTGGCTCTGCATCTGCACAGTCTGTTCAGCACCTTCCAAGTCATCCAGTCTTCTGTGTGCCCAGGAGGGAATTTCTCATCTGGCATCAGCCACCGATTCAGGTTCTGGGTTTTACCTGTCACTTTTGGACTTGCTTGCTGATGTGTTCCTGCAAGTATCTCTGTAGATCTTAGGAAGCTATTTCCTGATTTAGGACATTGACATGCTGGCTGATATTTGAACAGAGGATGGGCCAAAGATGTCAATGCCTTGGTTTTTTCATTATAGGCTGCTACTTCCCGATGGATGTCAGGTGGTGTGATACCAGCTAAACAGTATAATTTCTCCAGTGGTGTTGGTTGTAGACATTCTGTGTTAATGCGGCATGTCTCATTAAGAGCCACATCTACTGTTTTAGTGTGGTGAGATGTATTCTACACTGTGCATGTGTATTCAGCAGCAGAATAGCAAAGTTGAAAGGGTAGATATCTTCACTATATCTGGTTGTGATCCCCAGTCAGTTTACGTATGATATTATTTCTAGCACCCACTTTTTGCCTGATATTCAAGCAATGCTTCTTGTAAGTCAGAGCATGGTTCAGAGTAACTCCCAAGTATTTTGGTGTGTTGCAATGCTCCAGTGGGATTCCTTCCCAGCTAATCCTCAGAGCTTGAGATGCTTGTCTGTTCTTAAGATTAAAAATACATGTCTGCATTTTAGATGGATTAGGAATCAGCTGGTTTTCCCTGTTATAGGCAGCAAAAGCGCCTAAAGCTTCATAGAGTTTCTGTTCAACCATTTCAAATGGTTGAACATTACAGCAGTGATCAAACTGATAATAATGTATATGAGGATCAAATCTAATATGCATACTATACTGGTGCAATATGACTGTCACTTGAATTGACATGGCACAAAGGCTGTTGGCCCGTTTCTGTGCTGTCTCACAGTCCATCACTGTCTCAAAGTCCATTTTTTACTCCCTTTAGAGAACTTTATTGCAAATGGATGAATTTTTGCAGCTTACCAGTCTGACAACGGGAAGCAATCGGCAGAGCGATTCAGATCTTCTTGTAGTAATACGTAGATTGAATCATGCTGGCCTTAGTACCTTGGAACTGTCCAAAAAACGTTTCCAAATTGAACCAAAAAATGGGAACACGAGAAGAATCAATAAAGAATAAAGAAATCCAGTATTGAATTAAGAGGAAAGGAGTCTAAGATATAAAATGTTTGTTTTTGTCATAGACCAAAATGTAAACCACTACACCATGCTAGCTCCTGTGCATTGTGTGATTACTGTGGTCTTGCTTTTGAACTGTGTCCATATCTGTCCTGCCTGCAGATGCTCGTGTTGGCTCCATAGCCCTTCGCAAGTGTGGCGGGTATGTGATCACAGTAGGAACCAGGTTTGCCTTCTTGGACTGGGAAGATCAGAACCTTGTTAATATCATTGATCTAGAAGCAGATAAGCCCAACAACAGATTTAATGATGGAAAAGTAGACCCAATGGGGAGGTATTTTGCAGGTATGTATATATCCGAGAAACATTAAATAATACTATATGCTTACTTCTCACTTCTGACATTCCTAATTGGTTGAGTACTGACACTATTATGTACAAAATTGAATAACATTGAAAGTGTATCTATTTACTCTATACAGATCCCACTTTTTTGATGGTTTGTAGAAAGTATAATGGAAGAAAGGGAGGGAGGGAGGGAGGGAGGGAGGGAGGGAGGAAGATGAGTAACAGAGTACTACGGTCTTCAGGTCCATGGGGACCTGAAGACTTGGCTGTTTAAACAAGCTTTTGAAAACGCCTAGTCCCTAGCTGACCTAAGCAGCCTTGCGCTTGAACTGGGAATGGGAGAAGTGCTGTGCTGTAACCGTGGGAAGAGAGCATGGGATAAAGTGCAAGGCTGCATAACAATATTTATTTCATAATTGAAAAAGAACTATTGTAATTGTTAATGAGAACTGAAAGGTTTTCTGGGTTGCTGTGAGTTTTCCAGGCTGTATGGCCATGTTCCAGAAGCATTCTCTCCTGATGTGTTCATGGCTGTAGGGCCATGCTTCTGGAACTTGGCCATACAGCCCAGAAAACTCACAGCAACCCATTGATTCTGGCCATGAAAGTCTTCGACAACAGAAAGGTTTTCTGTTTAAAAGTAACATGCCAAGTTAAAAAGTAACAACTGCTAAGACTAGAAAGTATTTTCCAGAGAATGGCTTTGGAAAAAAGATCTAAAATGTGAAGTTGTTGGTCTAACTAAATTATGTAAGATATCAGTGCTATGAGCTGCTTCACAAAAGAGTTGGAAATCATCCAAGATAAATTTAGTTAAAAAGAAACCATTAGGGCAAAGATCAGATTGAAAAGTTTATCTTTTGCCCTAATCTGTAGAAAGTGTTTTAACCCTATTTGATAACTGTAAAGTATTGTATTTGGAGCAGTCTTAGGCAACTTGCAGTATTCTAGAGATTTCAGACGAGTCTGATCAGCATTAGCCAACAAGGCTAATGGCCAGGGAGTGATAGAGGTTATAGTCCGAAGGGCAACAGATCGTGGAAGTCTGGCTGGTTTATAATAAAAGTTAGAAATTTGACACATAAATAGAATACTATATTTTGCTAACCAAGAATCTGCAATGGGAAATCTTGCAGAGGGATGTGAGGAAAATGTACTTGTTCACCAGACAGTCTTGGGCGGCAACAACTTTCAGGTGTAGCTAACATAATCAATGATAAGGAATGCTGAGAACTGCAATTCAGTGATGCCTGGAAGGTTATACTTTGACCCTGCCTTAGGGATTCCTCTGAGAAGGTCAGAAAGTACAGAGATAGATCTGGTATGCATGAAATACAATATCAACAGCTTTAAATAAAGTTCCTCTGTAACAGCTTGTAAGAAAACAATAATTTCCCCCCCATAATTTATGTAGGGGGAACTAGAGTTATTGAACTAGAAGCCTTTTGGAAGATGCATTGGAGATGTAGTCCACTATATCTGGAGGACACTAGATTGGGAAAAGCTGGGTTAAATAGACTTTATTGTGCAATCCAACACAACTCAACTAACACTTTGAAGAGGTCGCACAACACTGAAATAACCTGACTCATACTCCTGCACCCACAATTTAGGTACCATGGCTGAAGAGACAGCGCCCGGGGTCAGGGCAAGGCACCAAGGGGCTCTCTATACTCTCCCTCCTGACTGTTGTGTCATGAAACAGATAGAGAAGGTAGACATCTCCAATGGGCTGGATTGGTCCCTGGACCACAGGACCTTCTTCTACATTGACAGCCTGACATATGCTGTACATGCCTTCAACTATGATGTGTGCACTGGAGAAATTGGTATGTTTGCTTTTATCAGATGTTTCCTAATATTTTATCAGAATTATACTATAGATGAAAGTCAATAGCCTTACAATGCATTTCAGTCATCAGGTTTGCTGGGGCTCTTTTTTCGTGTCAGGAGAGACTTGAGAAACTGCAAGTCGCTTCTGGTGTGAGAGAAGTGGCAATCTGCAAGGATTTTGCCCAAACGTTTTACCATCCTGTGGGAGGCTTCTCTCATGTCCCTGCATGAGAAGCTGGAGCTGACAGATGGGAGCTCACCCCACTCCCCAGATTTGAACCGCCGACATTTTGGTCAGCAGTCCTGCTGGCGCAAGCATTTAACTCTCTGTGCCACTGGAGGCTTCTTTGCTAGGGCTAGGTGCGCAGGACTCCTATGAGAGTGAAGAACTACAAATAAAATGTTAATTTAAATTGTGCTTCCTGTCTATTGGTATTATATCAAAATGGTTATTTTAAGAGTTTTATGCCAGTACAGGTTTCTTACACTATAGAGATACATTATTTAGAAATGGTGCACCTCTGAATTTTTGCCTATCATGCAGGGACTCAGTCAGATCATGTTGGCATTTTTTCCATTTTGGGAACTAAACTAACCAAGATGGAGAAAAGAAACATCTTGTCAACTGGAAGAGCCTTGTTCATTGCTTGTACAAGGGAAAGCTATATGTCAAAGGTTCAGAGAAGTAGCAGTGGCTTTTTGAATTACAATACCTATTGTTTCCCAAGAATTTCTGGAAGTTGCAGTCCAAAAAATAGATATTCCAGGCTCTGTTATAGCAGACTTTTCATTTGCCATAACTGCCTGTTCCCCTGCACATAAGAGACAAGGCGTTATGACAGGGTTGAGAATAAAGTTTTTGTAAGTGTCACATATGAAGCCATGTAAATCAGTGGTTCAAAACCTGTAGTTCCCCAGATGTTTTGGCCTCCAACTCCCAGAAATCCTAACAGCTGATAAACTGGCTAGGATTTCTGGAAGTTGTAGGCCAAAACACCAGGGGACCCATAGTTTGAGAACCACTGGTTTAGATCGATTCCATATTTTATGGACTTTCTGCTTTTAATGTTGTTAATTTTTGGTCTGGATGTTAACACTAAAAAAAACCCTCTGTTTTTAATGTCTTGATGTGTTACACTCGTGGTCGGTGACTGTAAAAATAAAATTCATTCATTCAGATATCCAGAAGTTGTAATTTCTGGATATCTCTAATAAAACACAGAATCCAAGAGCTTTTTAAAAAACTGAAAAAGTACAAGGGTGTGTGGATGTGTTTGTGTGTATCTTCTGCATTGCCTTGTGTACTCCTGTCCAATTTATTCTGGATGCAGATCGTAGTAGTTGCAAACCTGTGTATAAACTTGAAAAAGAAGAAGCACTTCCTGATGGGATGTGTATCGACATAGATGGGAAACTTTGGGTGGCCTGTTTTGATGGTGGACGAGTGATCCGTATTGACCCTGAAACAGGTAAAATATTAATGAGAACTCTGCCATATCCAAGTGAGCATGTTATGTGAGTCACTGTCATCCCATCTGAGAAGACCTGGCCTCTGTGCACCTAAGTTCCCATTTGCCAGAAGTCGATGGAGCCAAGATCAGATTCCATAACATGGGACTAAACTCTGCATATTGACATATTAGTAATTTATTCCTGATGTCTTTTGCAAGGAGTTTAAGATCCTTCTCCACATAATTGCCATTCCCTCAACAATCCTATGAGCAGGTCAGGCTGAGAAGAGATAATAGGCTAAGTAATATTACGGTATATTGCTTTAAGCCCAGTATGTGTGTGTGTTAAAGAAAGCCTAAACAGAAAAGCCTTGCAAAGTATTAATGATTAACTGCAGCTGCAGAATGCTAGCTAGGCCACACCTTTTAAATGTAACAATTTGAGGCTTGTGCAGACGGCTGGCAGTTGGAAGTTTGAATTGCTGGAGAGAAGAAGCAAGAAACTTACGTTATGGTGAAGTAACCATGTACTTTTGTTATGCTCTATGATTTATGACACAGAAGATTTATTCTGTATTACTTACAGAGACTATGTAAGTGTGCCTGTTTTATTTTTAACTCTGCAATCAAGAGTAAAGTTCTACTGGTTTATTTCTTCTGACTGGTCTGTGTCTTTGGCATTGGGTTTATTTTGGACATGCTGGACATTGCTACTGYGCAACAAATTGATTCTGCGTAACAAGTAATACCAATATCATGGTCTATCAYACTAACTGCTATCAAAGSCCACCAAATGGCATCTGAAAATACACAAAGATGCAACCTTGGAGAGAGCCTTTAAAATGTGTACTAAAACCAAGTGGCTTTAATGTCCCAAATACAGGCAGTCCTCGAGTTACAAACATCCGACTGAAAATTATTCATATTTTCAAGCTGTGGATTGTTGAATTCGTTGATGCCGAATCTGTAGATGCAAAGGGATAACTGTACTAATTTATGCTGTAGCATGTTCAGATAACTGAGTCTTTGTTACACCCATGCACTTAATTTTCCTAATTTGATTAAATGCACTTAGACTTATATAAGAAATTTTCAGCCTGGACAACAATTGATGCTTTTAGAATTGAGTAGCAATTGGTCTCCCTGTTTCTGCCTATATTGTGGTTACAGAAAATGAGAAAGAAATCTTCAATGTATGCAAATAGGATATTTTGTTTAACCTAATTCCTTTGTGTGGCATGGCAGCTGGCTCAACAGCTGTATTTGTCCTGTTACTTGGTTTCATGTAGGGAAAAGAATTCAAACTGTGCGGATGCCAGCTTCCAGAATCACATCTTGCTGCTTTGGAGGGAAAGATTATTCAGAAATGTATGTCACTTCTGCTTATGATGGACTGGACAAGGTCAAATTAGCCAAGGAACCTCATGCTGGAGAAATTTTCAAGGTAAATAGGTCTTGTTCAGTTTTGGAAATGAGTGCAATATTTCATAAAGGTGAATGTTCAAATTATCTCCTCCTGGAGGACTGTAACTTTTCTGCAATTTGCTCAGTTTCTAAGATATGATAGTTTACTAAATGATGTTTAGGTTCCTATAAGCTCACCTATATATAGGTGAAGGCTCAGCAGGGTCAGTTCTGGTTAGTACTTAGATGGGAAACAGCAATGAAGATCAGGTGCTATAGGCTATATTTTAGGTGAAGGAACTGGGCAAAACCACCTTTGAGTATTCCTTGCTTAAGAAAACTCTGTGAAATTCATAAGGTATCCATAAGTTGATAGGCAACATATGCATAATGATAGCTCTGGCCCAAAGAAAGTAACTTTCCAAAGTTCTCTAGCTTACCCCGGGGATGGACAACATGCAGCCTTCATCGTAATTTCAGAAAAGTATTGAATGAGTTAATTTCAGAAGCCCTCTGTGAGTGACCAATACATACATATGGAAAGCCCAATCTATTCCTATTGATTTTAATTTCATTTAATTATCTAATTTATGTTATATTCTGCTTTTTCACCAATGTGAGACTTAAGGCAAGAAGACCTTTCCCTATCATGACAGTCTGCTGAGATGAAACAGGAGGGGGGAAACCAAGGGGTGGATGTAAAGTGACCAAAAGAAAGAAATCCCACTTGCTTTGAGTTTTGGATTCCTAGCTGTCATTTATGGAAATGACAGATAATACAGCATGATACGTAGTTTTTGAAAGATAAATGGTTATTCTTTCATAGTCACCCCTCTCCATCCATGTACTCAAAAGGTGACAATTTCTTTGCACCTTTTCTTGTTGAGCAATTTCAAAAAGAAAAATGCATTTAAAAAGTAAAGCAGTAACAACAGGCATGTTGGCAGATCAGAAGCTTCTTGAGTTAGCAGTAGAGCAAATAAGCTTAAGTTATTACAGGAGCCGATCTCTAAAAGTAGAAAATGCTTCATTGAAAGAACTATATTTTTATACATAGGAAAGTTAGGGCCTATCTATCTATCTATCTATCTATCTATCTGGAAGCATCTTGTTTCTCGCCATGTTCACAGGAGAAGAAATGGAGGACTCAGAGGCTTGCCATATGGCCACTAAACTGAATAAAAAGAGGCATGTCCTGAGAATTATCAGTCTAACAAACAGGAGACCATGTATAAATTTGTGAAAGGAAGTCATAAGGAAGAGGGAGCAGGCTTGTTTTTTTTCTGCTACCCTGGAAACTAGGATTCGGAACAATGGGTTTAAATTATAGGAAAGGGGATTCCACCAGAACATTAGGAAGAACTTCCTGACTGTATGAGCTGTTCAATTGTGGAACTCTCTGCCTTGGAGTATGTTAGAAGTTTTAAAACAGAGGCTGGATGGCCATCTGTTGGAGGTGTTTTGATTGTGCTTTTCCTGCATGGCAGGGGGTTGGACTAGATGGCCCATGTGGTCTCTTCCAACTCTATTCTTCTATGATCTATGAGACAGAAGGCGAGAAAGAGAGAAAGCCAGATCAAGAGGGCAATGGGGAAGAACTTTCCCTGCCAGCTAACTCCTCTGCCTATCTAGTTCCTTGTGTAGGACTATAAACTTGTGCAGGATGTGGTTGTCTTCCCACACTATTTTGTGTTGTAATGGACACTGCTTTCATGTCCCTAATAGCAGCCACAGGTCTGTGTTTGAGATCCACCTTCTTCACTCTTTGCTTCTGTTATGAAGTGGAGGTGTGACTATCTGATCATGTGGCAGATCATGTGCCTGGGGCTTGGGTGAACCTCAGAAAGCAGCCTAATGGGGTCTGGGTCTGGTCTTGATCCCTTAGGACTGGAGCCTTCTGTTCTAAGGCATTCCCTGACAGTGCCTGGCAATTCATGCCTCTCAGTAAAACAGGCGTTACAGATACAGGTGTGCCAAGCAGCGAATTGGAGCATTCTGAGCAATGAGTTAGTTCAGATCCACCACCAGTGTAAAAGTCCAATTAGGAAATCGTGTCCTGGAGATAAACTCCCTTCCCACTCTCTTCACATCATTACAGTACAATAGGGATGGAAAATATTCTTGCCAGTGTCTCACTTTTCTGGCAAAATCAGAATGCCTTGACACAATGAGCGGACTTGTTGGGAATTTGGCAGCCCTTGTAAGAGCTCTTGCCTCTAGCTTATGAGAGAGAAAAGGAATGAGGGTGAAGGGTGGAAGAGAGAGAGAGAGAGAGAGAGTTTCTAGCAAAACTTTCACTGCAAAGAGTTTGTACCTTTAACTACAAACACACACAGACACACACAAAGATGAACTTGATCACCAACAAAGATGCAAATTTACAAGTGTTCAGTTTTATGTTCTAAATGTCCCTGCAATAACAAGGCTCCTAGTTTTGCACAAATGTGTGAAAATAAATTTAATAAATTCTGTCAAAGACCAACTATCTGAAGGCCATCTTTTATTGTTGTGACCAAAAATATATCAATAAAGTAATTTTTGATTAAACAAAATTAAATGCACACACCAATGAGGCTTTTAAATTTCTTTCTATCTAGCAAATGAAATGTATTATTTGGCTACAGAAATTTCTGCAGTTAGATGAGATATTGCCTCTTAAGAAGGCCACTGGAATGTACATAGGCTGAAATGTGTTGGGCTTTTTCCAAAGTAAAAGCAGTCATTCAATCAGTGCTTGGAGATGTGTCTGTCTTCCCCTCTGTGGATTCCTTAGGTCCACGGTAACATTTGCAGATCCTCTGGGTCAGTGTTTCGCAACCCCTGGGGAGTTGCAAGGGGGTGTCAGAGGGGTTGCCAAAGACCATCAGTAAACACAGTTATTTTCTGTTGGTCATGGGAGTTCTGTATGGGAATTTTGGACAAATTTCATCATTGGTGGAGTTCAGAATGCACTTTGATTGTAGGTGAACTTTAAATCCCAGGAACTACAACTTCCAAATGTCAAGGTCTATTTTCCCCAAACTCCACCAGTGTTCACATTTGGGCATATTGAGTATTTGTGCCAACTTTGGTCCAGATCCATCATTGTTTGAGTCCACAGTGCTCTCTGGATGTGGGTGAATTACAACTTCAAAACTCAAGGTCAATGCCCATCAAACCATTCCAGTATTTTCTGTTGGTCAAGGGAGTTCTGTGTGCCAAGTTTGGTTCAATTCCATCGTTGGTGGAGTTCAGAATGCTCTTTGATTGTAGGTGAACTATAAATCCCAGCAACAACTCCAAAATGCCAAACTCAATCCCCCCTCCCCATTCCCCACCAGTATTCAAATTTGGGCGTATCAAGTATTTGTGCCAAATTTGGTCCAGTGAATGGAAATACATCCTGCATATCAGATATTTACATTACAATTCACAATAATAGCAAAATGACAGTTCTGAAGTAGCAACAAAAATAATTTTACAGTTGGGGGTCACCACAACATGAGGGACTGTATTAAGGAGTTGCGGCATTAGGAAGATTGAGAAACACTGCTTTAGGTAAATGAATGAGATAGGCCAGTAGTGTTACTATAAGCTTTCAAAATAGTAATATGGAGCAGTTTATATTCATGTCATGCAGAGCTAACAACCAGGAAGTCTGTATTAGCAACTTTGTGTATTACCAAAATACCAAATGAAATAACTTATTTCAGTTAATTTAGTCAAATATTTATGTATAAAAGTTGCTTATTGTGTACATTTGTGTATTGTCTACATATATACATGATTACACTTTTTTTCTTGATGGAAGACCCCTAAAATTTAGATTTTTGAAAATCTATATAAAAGGAAAAAAACTCCAACCTTCAAATAGGAGACATCCCTTATCATAAAGGACACAGGACTATCCTAGACCAAAGATATTTTGCTGCTTGAAGCAAAAGACTAAGGGGCACCTGTCCCTCACCCTATAAACAGAGTTAGGTGGATTGCCAGACGTTTCTTCTTCATAGTAAAATGATCTGTTTCTTTTCCTTTAACAGATAACAGGACTCGGGGTGAAAGGAATCCCACAGCACTACTTTGCTGGTTAAGTGCTTGTTCATAATGCTTGAAGAAGATGCCCATATCCAGAAACAAAAATGAACAAGAATGGAAGAGTGAAGTTTAAATGTGTATAGAGTATTTTTCTACTGAATTCTTATATTGCTTTAATATTTTGATTGTTTCCTTTTCTTTGTGGCTGATTTGGGTTTTCTTTAATAGAGTAAATAACAACTTTGACGAGAAAGGAAATTTTCATCCAGGAAACTGATTCAACCTTGATTTCATGACATTATTGTCCTGGTTTTGAATCCAAATCCCAGTAATGTGGCTGATTTTTGCACAGTTCAAAGTGATGTGCTTGTGGATGTTTTGCTCTCAATGTACAGAAACACAGAACTGGATACAGAATTAGGGTTAGTAATTATATTAGCACAATTATTTGTTTTAATTTAGGTCCCATTTACACTGCCATATGATACAGTGTAGATCCATATAATTCCATTCAGTGCAGTTCACTGCAGTGTAGATCCAGCTGAAGTCTTGTTAATTTCATTACATCTCTTGGAAGTATATGTATAACAGACCTTGAACGATTTGCTCTTTTGAGCTGTAGCACCCAGAACCCCTCAGTCAGTATGAAACTAGCCATATTGAGTGAGGGATACTGGGATTTGTAGGTCAAAGCAACAACCGTTCCTTCCAAGGTCCGTAGCAGACATGTGTCCACCTAGACATGCATGGGGACTTATTCAGGATCACGCTTTCAACTACATGAACTGAGTTGCTGACCTACAGCATTCCCTAGAATCTGCAATGTTTTGCAGATTGTTGTTATAATCAAGTAGATTCCAACTACTAAGGAAAATGTATTATAGGCTGAGAGTGTGTGACTTGCCCAGGGTCTCCCAATAGGTTATCATGGCGAAGAGAGTATTTTAATCCTAATCTCTCAAACTACTGCACGGCGTTTCATGGCCTTGTGAGAAGGGAACAGCTAGATCTTGGAAATAGTCACATGCTAAACACAATATTTTATATACATATTCTACACATTTCTTTATGTAGAACATGAAAAAGAGGTTAATAATAACATGCTCTAGATTAATTAATGTGTTGGATTTTCATCCTCAAAATAATTTGCAAGCTGTTGTGTCTTTGGATTGATTCTGGGAATGTAGCCAATTACTTATCAAAACAAATATAATATAAAGAAAAGATAGGCCAGGGAAAGTTGAATACAGACACACACACACACTGATAACTGGCCAGGTGCAATTCAACCATGTCATGCATGAAGCAGATAGCTAGCACAGAAGCCCCAAGTAATGATTGGTAAGAGATAAAAAAAAAAAACCTCAGCCACAAAATAAACAAAGATAAAAAGCACCACTGATCTCATTTTTCAGTAAATGATAAGTAGCCCTTTACAAAAGAGAAATAAAATTTGCTCCTGATAGGCTGATGAACAGGCAAGGAGGAGCTAAATAAATATATATAAATATTTCAGGGAGGAAGATAATAATCTCATGATTGTATTGTTGAAGGCTTTCATGATTGCTTCCAATGACTGGACTCCTATGGCTGCTTCTCGTTGTCTGATGAATTAAGAATCCTAAATGCCACTAGTGATCTTGTCACCCAGCTGCTGGTGTCACTTCATTTTATAGTGGGGCGTGGGGAGTACCCCACGCCTGCATTGCCTAGCTCCAGCTGAAGTTGATCTGATGGGGGGAAGTGTGAGCGCGCAGTTGGTAATTTGGTAGCATAGACTGTGTATTTGGACAATATCTCAGCCCCTCACTGTTTCAATTTTACTTTTTTCCACATGCTAGCTGGGGGATTTGGGGGAGTTTTAGTCTAAAAGGTACATCTATCTCCATCCTGTGGTGACAAGGCACAAACAGAGGGACCAGATCTGAAGAGAAAATAAGAGCCAAGATCAATGCCATCTTTTGGTTATTTGTATGAGTGAAGCTGTTTGTAACATTTACCCGGCAAAAGGCCATCTAGTAATTATTTCCATTTTAATTCCCTCGATTAATTTGATTAGATTTCTTGAGAATGAAATGGCTTGTGCAGCTGGCTGACGTCTATAAGAACAAAATTAGATTTGGAAATAATGGGAGGCAATCTTGTGCCTGTTGTAATGAAAAGAAGATAGAGAGGAAGGTATTGTGGATATATTTGAGTGGATTTAAACACGGGATGTAAATGCAGTTGTTCATAAGGAACTGTTGATACAACTCCTTACTTAATGGAAATACTTGATGGGAGAACTCCTTTTCACAAGGGTTTTGTAATAAGGAGCAAGACCTGAAATTCTGTTTGCAAATTGAAAACATTAGCATTTTAAATGGGATTTGACAGTTCGGGTGTTTTCTGGTTTCTCATGTAAAAGTCAAGAATAAGCTAATATTAATTGGCTAGAAATTATGCAGGCTTGCTAAAAATTAGGATCAAGGCTATTGGAGAAATTGGTCTCACCAGCAGATGAATGCAAACTCATTTGAGGCTTCAGGTGATGTGGGATTATTATTCTATTTTCCTTATAAAAAGAAAACTGTCCTCAGCAGTGGATGCTCCCTGTTTTTGTGCAACAAAAGCCAAGTGTATAATAATGCCTCCAGTGAGGTTTAGAGAGAGCAGTATTTTCCCCACATAGGAATACTAGTAAAAAAAAGAGAGAAGGGTGCAAAGCTTTATAGAACTAAGTTACTCCCAACATTGCTTTTAACTCCACACTCAGTTCTGAAAATTAACTCTACAAAGCAGCAAACGCTTAAACAGAACCACAAATTTCAGTATGCAGCATGCTGGGTTGATACTTCTTCCACTTTGCGATAATGACAACTGCATCTACAACACTTGTTGTTTATTCATTCAGTCGCTTCCAACTCTTTGTGACCTCATGGACCAGTCCACGCCAGAGCTCCCTGCCAGCCATCGCCGCCCCCAGCTCCTTCAAAGTCAAGCCAGTTATTTCAAGGATACCATCCATCCATCTTGTCCTTGGTCGGCCCCTCTTCCTTTTTCCTTCCATATTCCCTAGCATCATTGTCTTCTCGAAGCTTTTCTGTCTTCTCATGATGTGGCCAAAGTACTTCATCTTTGCCTCTAATATACTTCCCTCTAATGAGCAGTCGGGCATTATTTCCTGGAGTATGGACTGATTGGACATTCTCGCGGTCCAAGGCACTCTCAGAATTTTCCTGCAGCACCACAGTTCAAAAGCATCTATCTTCCTTTGCTCAGCCTTCCATATGGTCCAGCTCTCACATCCCTAGGCTACTATGGGGGATACCATTGCTTTAACTATGTGAATCTTCATTGCCAGTATGATGTCTCTACTCTTCACTATTTTAACAAGAGTGGTCAGTGCTCTCCTCCCAAGAAGTAATAGCCTTCTGATTTCCCGCCTGCAGTCTCAACACTTGCAAGGCTTCAAAATAAAGAAAATGATTATTTTGCCTGCTCTGTTATCTTTTCTTGTTATGCAGAATTAGATTCATCCAGAATGACTGGATTCCAAAGTGATGTGAGCAAAATCCTACGTACATAAAAGAGTTTTCCTACTTTCTTCCCATAACATATAAATGAAGTAAATAAATAAATGAAATAAATAAATTACAGACCCCTGATATCAAAAACACTACTGAGAATCAGGGCCATTTCAAAAATGGAATATAATGTGGTAACAAAGAAGAGTGCTTGGGATGAAAATAGTCATAAAATGGAGCTTTTCTTACTTATAAATCAGTGTTTCTCAACCTGGGGGCTGGGACTGCTGGGGGGGGGGGGCACGAGGGAGTTTCAGAGAGGTTGAGAAAGACTACCAGAAAAACATATATTTCTGATGGTATTAGTAATCCCTTTGGAAGAGAAGGCTGAAGATCTCTCTGCCTGTCCTTCTCCTTTTTGGAGAAAGACAGCAAATCCTCCCACCAAAAGCCCTCCTCCACTGTGACTGACTAGCCTCTCAGCCAAGCGGAGGGCTGTTTCTGAGACTCCAAGCAGGGGAGGGCAGGCGTGCTCGGTGCATGGCAGCATGGTGTGCATGTGCAGGTGAGGGAGAGCATGTGAGACTGGAGGGAAGTTCACACTAGCGAGTCCCTTCAAGACGGGGTTGTGTGGGGTGGGTTGTGTGGGAGGTTTGACCCAATTCTGTCACTGGTGGGGTTCAGAATGCTTTTTGATTGTAGGTGAACTATAAATCCCAGCAACTACAACTCCCACATGTCAAGCTCTATTTTCCCCAAACTTCACCAGTATTCACATTTGGGCATACTGAGTATTCATGCCAAGTTTGGTCCAGATCTATCATTGTTTGAGTCCACAGTGCTCTCTGGATGTTGGTGAACTACAACTCCAAAACTCAAGATCAATGCCCACCAAACCCTTTCAGTATTTTCTGTTGGTCATGGGAGTTCTGTGTGCTAAGTTTGGTTCAGTTCCATAATTGGTGGAGTTCAGAATGCTCTTTGATTGTAGGTTAACTATAAATCCCAGCAATGACAACTCCCAAATGACAAAAACAACCCCCCCCACCCCCGAATCCTGCCAGTATTCAAATTTGGGCATATCGGGTATTTGTGCCAAATTTGGTCCAGTGAATGAAAATACATTTTGCATACATTAAGATTAAGATTCCTAACAGTAGCAAAATGACAGTTATGAAGTAGCAAYGAAAATAATTTTATGGTTGTGGGTCACCGCAATATGAGGAACTGTATTAAGGGGTTGCAGCATTTGGAAGGTTGAGACACACTGTTATAAATGCTCTCTACTACACTTTTTTTGTTGGAGCAAATCTAATTTAAGAGTTCTTTATTTCAACCAGTCCAACAAGAGGACCTTTCACACTACATAATGATAGCAGTGTGATTCCGCTTTAACTTCCATGACTATGAAATCCTGGGATTTGTAGAGTTTAAGGAGATGTATTTTGATGTCTGCCATAAAGTTTTAGCATGTTACCAAACTACAAACCCCAGACATATATTTTAACCAACAAGTCGAAGCAGTGGTATATTCTTAAGAAACATGGCAAGCCTTGCTGAAGTGGAAAAAATACAGCTGGGGCTTCGGATGGATAACTCCAACAAAATCCCGAAGACCCTAAGATAGTCTCAAACAAATCATTTATACTTGGCATGCTCTCAAATAATATTTTATCTTCTTAAGGCACTACATATCTTATTGGTACAGAAAGATCAGACGAGGTGGTGTGTACAGAGAGGAACTGTATTGATTAAAATTGCTTAAGCAAGCAGGATGGAACACGCTGTGTTCATTCCCTAATCACATGGCACCCCCCACTGGCTCAAACAACATCATGCAGGCAAAAATGTCTGTATGATCTTTCTGACACCCTTTCAATTCCATCCTTCAAATCAAGAAGACAGGCAGATATTTCAGTAGGAATATTTGGTAGTTGCCCAGAAAACCTCATGATAAGTGTTAGGTAGGACTGGAAAAAAATCTGTCTGAAACTGGAGAGCTCTAACTAACAGCTAGAATCGACAATACCTTTACGTCTATGTTGCAGACTATAGTAAGATGTTAACTATATTTCAGCGTTCTTACAGACTATCCAAACTGCAGCGTTATACCAATTTGACTCCAGTTTAACCACAATGGCTTAATCCTTTACTGCAGATGCAGACTGCAGCCAGGAAATCAGAAGATGTTTACTGCTTGGGAGGAGAGCAATGACCAATCTTGATAAAACAGTGAAGAGTAGAGACATCACAATGGCAAGGAAGGTCCGCATAGTTAAAGCAATGGTATTCCCCGTAGTAACCTACGGATGTGAGAGCTGGACCATAGGGAAGGCTCAGCAAAGGAAGAGAGATGCCTTTGAACTGTGGTGCTGGAGGAAAATTCTGAGAGTGCCTTGGACCGTGGGAAAATCCAACCAGTCCATACTTCAGAAAATAAAGCCTGACTGCTCATTGGAGAAAAGGATATTAGAGGCAAAGGTGAAGTACTTTGGCCACGGACTACTTTTAAGATAAAATAAAGAGATTTCGTTAAATAATCCATCCGCTTTAGGCCTTATTTGTCTGGTTATAAAAACAAGACAGTTTCAACACTTTGGCGCCCTCTCCTGGCTTCCTAGCTTAGTGACACATTCGTATATGTGTTCTGCTTCAACTGATTGAACAGGAGGCAAAATTCAGTATAAATTGCATTCAAACTAGAATTCTGCTGTCAAGCATGATATGAAAACCGGTGCCTTGTGTCAATTCAACATATCTTTTAAAAGGGCAGGTAGTTGGGCGATTTCTTCCTCCTCTTCCTCCTTTAAAAAACACATTCATTGTAGTGAAAAGGAAACTGTTTCCATTTATTATATACATAGAAGAAAAAGAATGACTGGCATTAATACATGATGTATGGTGTGAAATATGTGATGCAGTATTTACCTTAATGTGGTTAAATTGATTTACACTGTAAGCATTTTTGTATAGAATGAGATGTTTTTCTCGTGAAAAGATTTAACCAGTAGTTACAAATAAGTTGTCTATTTATTTATTTATTGCTAGCCGTCCCCTGCCACGGGTTGCTGTGGCCCACATGGGGGTTCTGTGTGGGAGGTTTGGCCCAGTTCTATCGTTGGTGGGGTTCAGAATGCTCTTTGACTGTAGGTGAACTATAAATCCTAGCAACTACAACTCCCAAATATCAAGATTCTATTTGCCCCAAACTCCACCAGTGTTCACATTTGGGCATATTGAGTATTCTTGTAGAGTTTGGTCCAGATCCATCATTGTTTGAGTCCACAGTCATCTTTGGATGTAGGTGAACTACAACTCCAAAACCAAAGGACAGTGCCCACCAAACCTTTCCAGTATTTTCTGTTGGTCATGGGAGAACTGTGTGCCAAGTTTGGTTCAATTCCATCTTTAGTGGGGTTCAGAATGTTCTTTGATTGTAGGTGAACTATAAATCCCAGCAACTACAACTCCCAAATGGCAAAATCAATTTTTGAGTGAAGGACATACATTGGGTTGTTAGGTGTCTTGTGTTCAAATTTGGTGTCAATTACATTACATTTTTATTTATATAGATGTCAGAAGCGAACCAAGGGTACATTTGTAATGTATTTAAAAACACAAACAAAATTTTTAAAAACTTGACATTATACTAAATGTCATTTGCCCAGCAGCTGGCCACTTGGAATGCCCCTGGTGTGGCTATAGGGAGTTCCTCCATTGTGCATGTGGCAGGGCTCAGACGGCATTGTAACAGCTGTTCCATGGTTTGCTTTTTTCTACACTCACATGTCATGGAGTTGCAGCATGCAAACAAACAAACCAACCAACAGACCTTTTCAAGACCAACAATGACAATAATCTCAATCAACATTGAAAGCATGTCAGTTACCAAAGAATAAGTTGCCTATATACTCACTATCCATAAAGAAGTCGAAATTGTCTTGCCTTATAAGTATGGTATTATAAGTATGGCATTGTTGTCAGTTAAAGTGACGGATTACAGTTGACTGCAAAAATAAATTTGTCTGGACTTTGCACTTGACCTGTCTAGTACCACAAGAAAGGGTACATTAGGCATAACATTATCTATAACTCATCTTAAGATCTTAATAAGAATACCACTAATTATGGATGCATCTACACTGTAGAATTAATGCAGTTTGGCACCACGTTCACTGCTATGGGCAATACTATGGAATCATGCAAGTTGTAGTTTAGTGAGGCATCAGCACTCATTGGCAAAGAAGGCTAAAGACCTTGTAAAACTACCACTTCTATGATACCATAGCATTGAGCCATGACAGTGAAAATGGTGTCAAACTGCATTAAGTCTGAAATATAGATGCACCCTATGTTAAATGTGTTAACTTTCCCCTGAGCTGGGTTTCTTAAAAGGCTGTTCCATAATAAATTATCTGCAGTTATCTGTTCCATTGTGCCTTAGGGCACAAACTACTTCTGTATAAGTAGTTTGAAAGCTTTCAGTAATAGTTATTGATTTAATTCAAACTAGCAATTTAAAGGTTTTATCTCGCATTATTCTCTGGAATCAACCGTCTTTGGCAGAATTAAATCTTTATTCACAGAAATAGGATTATGCTCTGTGAGTGGTGAAGCTTTTGAGGAAAATGGACTTTAGTTCCTAGAAGTGCCTGGCCAGATGTTGGTGGGGGGGGGGTCTAGGGGGATATCCCCCCCCCCAAGTTTCAGCTAATCTCAAAGGGTGGATTTTGTATTTCATAGATAATTTCAAAGGGTGAATTGATTGATTTGAAGCTGGTTAGAAGCAAGGACCGAATATAGAATGGTGATTCTGGCTGCCACCAAATATCCATGGGGCTGACCTCTCTTCTACGCCCAACTTGTTGCTCTTTCTCTTCTCCTTCCCATCCACTGGGATGTCGCAGATGGAACAGATGGCTTCTGACAGTAAAAATTAATTGTTGAAAGAAGGCTTTTGGAATTAGAGAT